TTCTGTTTCTTCTGTCTGTCTATTTCTCTCTCTTTTTTTCAGTCCAGAAAACCGTCCCCTCCCTCTGTTTTTCATTCAGTCTTATATAGGGGATGGAAGAGGTGAATCATTGCTTTCCTGCTCCGCTTTTCCTTTCTGCTGTGTTTTCTGTGTGCGTCGAAGTCTGCTCTGTTTTTCTGCATTTCTGTCTCTATTTTTTGTGCTGTCCCGTCTGCTTTCTCTGCTGTGCCATTTCCTTCATGCATGCGTGCGTCCTTAGTTCTGTTTCTTTTCTCCTGCCAGCCGAAAGTATATGCGTACGTGTTCCGGTTGTTTACTGTTCTTTCTGCTCTGTTTTGCTTCTCCTGCATTTCGTGTCTGTTGCCTCTGGTTCTTTCAGCGTCTGCAGCTCATGTGTTCGTGCGTTCTGCTGTTTCTGTCCTTTTTCCTGCTGCATGGCCGAAAGTGTATGCTTATTTTTGTTTCTGCGCCTCTGTGCCTGTGTTTCTTCGCTGTTTCTGCATTTCTTTGCTGTTTTTGCACTTCATGTTTGCTGTCTCTTTGCTTTTACTGCTGTCTGGCTGAGAGTGTATGCGTGTGTGTACGTGTGTTTCATGTATCTGTTCCTTCTTCTTCTTTTTCTCTTTTTTTTTATTCTTTAATGCCCTTTTTTTTTTATTAATTAGATTGAGGGGGAGAAAGAAAAGTTTAATTTTAAAACATATATTTTTAAATGAAAAACAAAAGATTTAAGGAAAGAAAAAAAAATTTAAAAATAGTTGAGTCTCAAATATTGATTCCCAATATCTTTGAATTCTTTTTGAAAATATAATCCTAAAAAAAAGGATTAAATTTTATTTTTGTATTTATTATATGTTTTGATTATTATTAAAAAAAAAAGAGTTCGGACAAAATAAGGTGTTCACATATATGAAATATAAAATTCAATATATATATATATATATATGTGTGTGTGTGTGTGTGTATGATATATGCATATATATTATATTCTAGTGTTAGTTTTAAATTTAGTTTTATGTGATAAATTAAATTTAATAACTAATATGATATGAGAGGATATCATATCAGTTCTATAATTTGAATTTATGAGATAAATTTAAATAAGATATGATATCATATAGTTAATTTATGAGATAAATTTAATTTTATTTTATTGCCTCTTCTTTTAGATTAAAATAAATAGTTTAAGTTGAACTGTTGGACATATTTAATATTAAACTAAATTTATTTTAGTTCAATATGAATTAATTGTTAAGATATGATTTTTGAAATAATTGTGATTATTTTTGAAAATTCATATAGAAAAAAAAACCCTAGTTTATATAGTATAGAGAGGGACGAGCTTCCTAAGAGAGACAGACTCTTGACAGCAAAATATTTTGAGAGCCATGGACATACCCTAGAGAAAAGAAAAGGAACGTTTGACAAAGGCCATAAGATTAGATCTTTCAAGGCTTATGCACATATGGATAGACATTAGTTATTAGGAGTGCTAGCACACTGTTCATGTTGGAAAGATGTTCGTGTGGATATTAATAGAAGGAGCCAATCTGCATTGTCAGCTCCTAAGGTCTAAATGATTGAGGGAAGCTTGAAAAGTTTGACATTTAAAAGGTATTTCTTCTTTCACCTTGATTTAAACGAATTCGATCGGTCTACGATCGCGATTCTAGATTTTAATTTTAATCTTTCCACTGCGCCCTCCAATCCAATAACGCATACTAACCTAAGGCCACAATCTTGATGTTAGGAAGGAATGGAGTACGGCCTCGACTACTTCTAGGTTAGGGTGCTACTCGCCTCCTAGGGGAAAGTACCCTACGAGGGTAGAAGTTAAATGAAATGACTTCCTTTTAAAGGCACATAGACATCACATAATTAAGAAAAGGAGTAGGGGTGGTTACATTGACATTTAAATAGGGAGATTCAAGGGGAGGATCCTCCATTTTGATGATGTTAAATGAGTAAAGGGGATGATTTGGAGGCAGAGGGTTGTTGATATCATAGAAGAAGTTGTGCTCGTCAATGGGAAGGCGGTTGGGGTGATCGATGTTGGTAGCGAAAGATGGGTAAGATTGCTAGGGAAGTTAAAGTAAGGAAGCATGGTGTGGAGTGAGAAAGCAGCGCAGTAGGAGGAGTAGTATCAATAGCAAGGCCACATTCTTGGTCCAGGAGAGAAGAAGGAGAAGAGGGAGAGCAATGAAGCAAGAAATTATAATTGTTTGTTCTGTTCTAGTCATTATAAAAAAAAAGTCAATACTTAAACTAAAGTATTCACTAATTGATATTTATTTCCTTTTAGGTTAGAGCTATTACTTTTTTTACTTTAAACTAAGGGTATTTTAATTATTTCACCAAAAAGTATTATATCAAAAAGGTCTCCAAGGATTTGAGAAGAATTGTGAAATTTTACAAGACTTTATTATCACTTGTATATTTCATGAACATTTTTCTAAAGTATTGGTTCTTTGAAATAATTATCTAGTCAAGGCTTGAAATTATAGGCATGGCACATAGTGGATGAGATGAGTTGTGTGCCTATATTATTGCGTAGCTCGTGCTAGAATTTATTTTAGTTTATTAATTAATTTGTATATTCTTTTTAGATTTAAAAAAAATGAATATGACATAATCAGGCTGATCCTTTTATTAGGCTCATTACCTTTCAGGAGTCTCAAATTACAAGCCATGGTTGAAACACTTCATCTTGTTGAGCAAAAAGGGTACAGTCTGGATTTTCATAAATCAACGGCCAAGATTGCGTTTCAAGGATTCCTGCTTATCTGGTTGCTTTAGATGTGTCGGATTAATCTAACGGCCCAAATCTTCCCAAGAGGAGGCGGGAAGAATGAATGCTGGTTAGTGAAGTGAAGCAAATATGATTTTTTTTTGTTTGGCAAAAAATGAAAAGAAAAGAAAATTCTTAATTTTTTTATTACATCTTGAGGATTTAAATCTTTAATCATTATTTACACCCCATCTCACCTTTTATCACCTAAGAAATGATAGTGTTTTTCTTCTTTAGCTTTTTTTTTGGGGGGTCATCTCCACATGTGATCCATTAAAAAAAAAATCCCTTAAAATCTCAATATATAAACAAAATATAATTAACTCTTACAAGTCACATGCATATAAAAATAAAACACTTACCCTTTATTGTAAAATTAATTCATTAATTGACATATAAGTGAGTTTTATTTCATATAATAAATGCATCATATTATACTATATATAGAGAGCTATTTCTTATTGTACGCAAAGAAATGTTTCCAAAAGTATTAAATAACAACTGATTTGAGTGATCTAACACTTATACCCAATATATGCAATTCCAATTGATTCATTAACGTATTATGTATCATAGGAATTTACATGTATCGTTGATTTCAATAAAACTGAGTTACAGTGAATCTGTTATGCTTTTTATTAGATTTGTTATAAATTTATGATAAATCTTTCATAGCCACATATGGCATTATATATCACATGCTTTCACAAAACGTTTATGTTGTGATTTCTTTTTTTGTTCCTTCTAATTTTTTTCCTAATCAATTATTTATTGTAAGGTACACAGCAAGTATTTTTTCCCCTAATCTTTCATAAGCCTTGTTTGGTTTTACTAATGAAAATGAATTCCATTACACAAAATTTGAAATATGAAATATCTATCATTCCTCTATTATCATTACTTAACAATATAACTATATACTTGTAACACTCCTCTCCTGAACAATATATTATTGTGCGAGCAATTTGTTATGTAACAATTATAAATGGAAACAAATCCTCTAAAATTGAAATCCATGAATTTATATTATTTTTTTATATTTTTTATTTTTATTATATTATTTTTTATAAAACATAGAATCTTTTCTTTCTTCCTTAAACAAATAAAACTTATAAAATTCACAAATTTTAATTTTTAGAGGATTTTTTCTATTCTAAATAGTAGGTATTTTCACATTAATATGATTTTCAAATGTACGTGATAGCTCTTTCTCATATATACAACATGATTATTTTCATTAACAAGATCTCCATTCAATCTAACTATTATTGTTAATCTCTTACATAACATTTTAACGGTAATTATTTTATAATATAATAAAGGGTTAAATACCATTACTTCTGTAATTTTTTTTAAAGAACACTAGTAGGCATACTTTATTGAAGGGTCAAGCAATATCCCATATAAATAATTTTTTTTTATGAGTAGAATTACCATTTCATTAGAGACTTGTTATTTTTTTCATTATCTGCTGATGTGGAATAATTGTGGGGTTTGCATAATGATAGTAAAGCATTCTAACCCATTTCACTATCATTTTGCCACTAAAATCAAGCTTGGTTTCTGCCCTTGCAATTGCTACTTCAGTCCTTTTTGCCCATGTCAGATGGTCAAAATGGGTTAGAATGGCTTGATGTCATTATAAGTGGATCCCACAACTATTACACACTAATAGATAATAGAGAAAATGATAAGTTTATGATAGAAGGGTGATTTTGTTATTTAAAAAATTATTTAGGAGGATATTGCCCCATTCTTCAATATAGAATACCCAATGCTCCTAAAAAAAATATTTAAGAAAAAATGATCTTTAACCCTATAATATAAAAGGAAAATACTATCTTTGATCTTTATTGTGTGACACTTTTAACTATTTCACACATTTTAAAAAAATTTAATTTTTTTCTTCATGTCATAATTAAATGAGATGTACTTTTATTTTCATCTTTAACTTTAAATCATAATATAATTACATTAAATACTTTCACATTAGTCAAGAAAGGGAAAAATTGGAAAAGTGATATAATTAACACTATAAATATAGGAAGCATAACACGTTTCTCATAAAAAGAAAAAAGATGAAAACTCATACATTGTTTTCCTTCCAAAGCTTAATTACCTCTAGTAAATCCAATATATAGTCACTCATTTATATATATATATATATATGTAACAGATCATATATCTAACTAGCTACTCGCATCTCATAACAATGGCTTCCTCCTCATCTTCTTCTTCCATCTTTGTAGACTCAAGTTCTAAAGTGATAATTACAGAAGAAGAGTTCAAGAACTTTCACAACATCGATCGCAAGCTCTTCCTCCGGTTGGTGACCAATAACCTTATCGGTCAAGAACCGAGACGAGTCACACTATTCATGGCTTTATTTTTATGGTTCGAGAAGACGACCAAAAATTTCACACTCATCTCCAAGTTGCTTCAATGGCCTGACACTTTGCTCACTGATCTCACAAACGAAGCTGCTTTTATCTTCACTTGCATTGATGATAATGATGCTATTGAATGTTTCACCAAAAATAACGTTAACTACAGCAAATACTGTGACTTGCCTTTGACTCAGAAAATTACTAACAGTGGCATCACCCTCCATTTTGTCCACCAAAATCGTGTCGACATAAAACAAGCTATCGATAAATTGATTAACAGCGTTTGTGACAGAGCTTTTGATGACATTATTGTGAAGTTTTTGCTGCAGAAACAGGCCGAGAAAGAACATGCGTTGCACTATAATCCGATGATGTTGCCACCGCCACATGAGGTGGGACCACCGCAAGTTCTGCCACTTAAAGTGGTGGTGCCGGCTCCGGCGGTGGATGAAGGAAGCAGCTCGAGTGGGGGTTTAGGTGATGCATCTGAAGTTAAGGTTTTGACTAATGGAGTTTGTGAGATTCCGAGGAGGGTGGAGCTGCGTGTTGGTGGGGCAGGAGAGCGAAGACACGTGGCAGAAGATGATAGGACTGTTTTCTTAACATTCTCGAAAGGATACCCCATTTCTGAATCAGAAATTATTGAATTCTTCTACAGGTGATTCCTCACTGGAATGTCTTTTATTTTTCAATTTTTTTCCCCTTAAATTTATTAATCTGTTTCTGCTTTGGGTTCATGAAAGAGCTCTATTGGGATGTGTGTGAAACACCTACAGTATAAATTCTTTGAATTGACATTTTCAATCATTATATGGTTACAATAATGTTTTCCCCCAATTCAATTTTCATGATCGAGAAATGAAATTTGATACATTTCTGTAAATCACATTATTCATAATCTGTCAAAGTTTGACTCCATATATTTTTTATATCTTATATTGATATTAATTTGGATGAAAATAAACAGGAGAACAACATTAAATGCATATTTATTTATTTTTTTGGTAAGGACATCAAATGCATATATTTAATAATTATCCCAAGAGTTGTATGGGTTGCACAGAGTTTGATTTGGGGCATATCCCTCCATTTTCAAATATATATAGTAAAAATAACAAATTCACACGTTTTAAGAAAATATGTTAAGTGTAATAATTATGTCCGAAATTTTAAAATTTTGACTAAATTATCCCTTTAATTAATAAAATAATTTTTCTAATAAAAATAAACATGAATTTATGAGAAACAATTTGGAAAAATATGATAAAGATTTCTTGAAATTTGCCGTTTTGCTTATGAATAAAAACAAAAAGAGAAAATAATAGTTTCTCTTATATTTGAGAAAAGAAAGTATATTATTTAGCTATATAAAGAAAAGAGAAAATCACAGTTAAGTCTTAAAAATTGAATTAATGATAGTTAGATTTCTGTCAATTTTTTTAAAAAATTATAAATACTAAGTTAAAGCATGGTTATGGGCAGGAATTACGAATATTATAATTTAAGAATTAAATTTTAAACTTAAAATACCTTATTTACAATTAAAACTCATAAAGTTATAATTGTTTAAAATGATATTTTCAACTCATTCTTTAAATTTTTTTATCAAAAACCTAACCGTACGTCATGCTCTCAAAATATAGGCTCTCTTTCACATGTAACATTTTGCAAGATTAGGGCTTGCTGAATTGACAAATAAACATTTACATTTATTTCTCACAATTGTACCCCTCAATATCATGACTAATTTTGACTTAAAAGTTCAAACAGAAACTGGCATGAACTTTATTTTGAATACAACTCTTTTTTTTCTCTCTGAATTTACCTCATTAAATTTTTATTATAAATTTTTACCTTTACCCTCTGTTTAGTATTGAAAAAAAAAATATATTATTAAAGAATGTATATTTAATAGAAATAAAATTAAAAACTTATTAAATTTTTAGATAAAATTAATAAGTTTTAAAATTTTTCTTAATTCTAATAAAATATATTAAAAGTAACTTATAAAATAGGCCAACGGACTACTATATTGTATTGTTACTCCTTTTTTTTTTGTTGAAAAGTTCAATTTATAATATAAGAAATTGTAGCTTAAAACACATAAATAGGATTATTATTATTTTTGGCTACTGTATTTAATTAGTTACTGAAGTTACAGAGTTTTGGTGTAAACAGAAGATACGGAGATATAATAGAAGCAGTGATAATGCAGGAGGTACAAAGTGTGGTAGAGCAACCATTGTACGCTCGCCTGGTTCTTCGTCCTGATTTCATACATATGATGCAACTCATTCTTGATAGAACCACACACAAAGCCAAATTCTGCATCAATGGCAAGCATGTTTGGGCCAGAAAATTTGTTCCCAAAACCTCCAAGTCTCTCCCAAATTCTCCACTTAAATCCATCACTTTTTGATGACTTTTTATTTCTCTAAGTATCCTGGTCCTATATATATGAGCTTGCCTCACTCGAGCTATGAGGACTTTTTAATGACTTTTTATTTTTTGCCAAAATAATGCTCTGTTTTTTTTTTAAATTTATACTTGGAAGAAAGTTATTAGGACATGTATGGGATGGATTTGAGTTCATTCCCCCCCTTCCAATTTCTTGGACTAATGTTAAAGATAGAGGATGGTGTGTGTGTAATTAATTATCAAGAAGAAAATATAATTGTTAATGTCTATGCTTTTAGTGTGCTTGAGTAATAGTTTTTATACTTTTTTTATTATTTTAAATCCTTTTTAAGTTTAGGGTCTGTTTGGGTGAACAGCTTTGCATTTTTTTTATGTACATTCAGAGGGACATTGAATGTAAATTTTGAAAGGTGCCATTTGAAAGCTTTCCAAAAACATATCCATGACATCAAATTATTTTGGTCCTTGCCGTTTACTTTCACATCAAATTATTTTTGTATTTTTCCTTTCCTTTTTCCCCCACTCCAATAAATGCTTCATGATTTTCTTTCTTTATTTTATTAGAATTGATAAAATTAATTAAATAATTTTTTAATAATTACAATGTTAAATATCCTTATTATTCAAAATATTTAATTTTATGTTATTTAAAATTTTAATCACATTTTTTAAAATTTTTATTACTATATATAGTAACATAAACAACTTTCAGTTTACTAAATTAATTTTTTTAAAAAAGTATTCAAATATAAATTTTGTTACAACAATTAACTCATTAAATTAATGTTTGTTAAATTAAATTTTGAAAAACTAACTTTTAACCAATGAAAAACCAAACATGTACTTAATCTATTTTTAATGTTAGTTCCTATATTTTTATAAAAAAAACAGTAGAAAGCAAACAAGCAAGACATTAAATTAGGATCCTTAAACACACAATGTTTGAAGTTTCACAAGGAAGAAGACAAGACAAATAGGACAAACAAGCAAAAATATTAGTAATTATTTTGCTCATATAACATTCATCTCATTATAGTTTTACTAGCTCAACAACAAAACGACAACAAACTAATAGAATTTACAAAGTTATGTACATATAGGAGATTTAACACCATCATTGAAGACAAAAGACTGACATTGTAGTTAAATGAAACTTAAAGATTTGGAGCAAAGTATATGAATTAATACCCAAACACATTAAAAATATGTGAATCAACAATTTTATTTTCCCTAATCATATGTACAAACCAAATGATGATGTAATGAGAGAAATAGACAAATAGATAGAGTTCACACATTAACAATGTCTTGTTTAGCAGCCCAAAAGGTTGGGGCGAGAAGGTGTTATTCTCTCTGTTAAATTTGATTATCTTTTTTTTTTCAAATTTAAAATTCAAGCAAACTAATTCAAATCAAGCATTTTATCATCCTTTTTGATTTATTCCTTTTAGACCCTGAAGTCACATTATGCTTTCACAGATACAAATTCAGGTTAGGTCCCAAACAGTACGTAACTCTATTAAAATCAGAGTTTGAATCAAAGACATTATGCTTAAGCAATTTACAATAATAACTTCTTTTACTAGGATATCAATGCTCTACCAGTGTTATTAGAATCGAACCGGCCGGTTCAACCGATTAGATAGAGAACCGGCCATATGTCTGGTTCGAAAAACTGTCGGAACCGTTCAAAATGCAAACAGGGACAAAACTGGCTAGACCAGCTATGAACAAGAAGAAATAAAAAAACTGACGGGTTAGCTGGTTCTATTGGGCTAGAGGAAATGATAAAAAAATATAGATTGCCATGCCCAAAAAAACTGAGAACTTCGGCAAAAGGGGGAAGAAGTTGTAGAAAGAAAAAAGAACAATGAAAAATATTGAAGAGGAAAGAAGAGCGTAAAAGAAAAAAGGAAGAAAAATACATAAAACTTTTACTTTGAAATTTCAAAGCTGCTAGCGTTGAGCTTTTCTCCCTTCCGTTATCATCTCAGAGTCTCAGCATTTTCCCGATTTTTTACTCACCTCGATGACTCTCTCTAAAGTGGGTTTTACAAATGAAATGTAGTTAATGTGACAGCATTTTGTATTGGAGAGAGAAGAAAGAAAGTTTCAAATCAAAGAAAAAAAAGTTAATCACGCATAATTTCACGACGCACCCTTTTCAACACACCCACACTTTTGCATTAAGTCCCACCTCCCAGCACCTACGACATTCAAAAGTTGCTAGATTTTTTTTTCTAATTAAAATCATATGTATTACTGTTTACTAGTATTATTACACGCAATTTTAATAGTTTTTGTATTTTAAATTATAATTTTTTATTCATGTTTGTATTTTTAAATTGCATTTTTATATTAGCAATTTTCTGTGAGTTTTAATTATAATTTTTAATATATAATATTTAAAATATATAATCATATTAAAGTAATTACAAATGGTCCAACCCTAGTTAGACCCCGATCAAACCATTGAACCGTGAACCGGTGCCTTGATCAGTTCAATGTCCGATCTGATTCTCATAACATGTGCTTTACTAACTTTTAAATCATCAATGCATACTGAAATTTTTAATGTTTTCTACAAATGCATTATATAAATGGAACTCTGATATTTTGTCAAAACACATGAATTGATATTAAAAACTGATTCACTATTCATTGTCATGATCAAAATGCTAAGAATCTTAGCAACCATCCTTGAAAAAAAAAAAGTAGAAATTGATATGATTGTTCTTCCATAGTTCAATATATCTTATTCTGTCCAATTATGAGATTTAAGTTTGGATAATCTAATGAAATTAGGTAACACACAGGCGAGATGAGATAATTTGTGTGTATGTGCCTTATTGTGTAGCTCGTGATAGGTTTTATTTTAGTTTTTTTTAATCAAGATAATCTTTATTTAAATTTTAAAAAAATAATAGTAGGTTATAAACGAGCCAATCCTTTGAAATCTAATTATCTTCTAAAAGGAGTTTGTCTTTGGCTGTTGAGCACCAAGGTGCTCATCACCCAAAATAAATTTAGGTCATTGAGGAATTAAATCTAGATGGCCTAAATTTTTTTAATTTAAGTGTAAATTTTAAATTTTATAAAAAATAAAAATTTATAAATTCTTTTCATAAATATATTCATCATCAATATAAATAATACTAATTTAATTTGGATAGTTGTTATAATTTTTTATAAATTGATTATCTAAATATACTATGGACAATATAGATTCAATATATAAATAAAT